CTCACACTTCATACTACACCTACATCCCAGAAAACAACCCCAGAGGCATCTCAATCTTCTCTGTGAACGCGCACGACCCCGACAGTGGCAACAATGCCCAGGTCACTTACTCTCTGGCTGAGTACAAATTTCAGGCAACCCCTCTATCATCTTATGTTTCCATCAATTCCGACACCGGAGTCCTGTATGCCCTCTGCTCTTTTGACTATGAGCAGGTTAGAGAACTGCAGCTGTGGGTGATGGCCAGCGACAATGGAGACCCTCCACTTAGTAACAACGTGTCTCTGAACCTCTTCGTGATGGACCAGAATGACAACGCTCCCGAAATCCTGTACCCGGCCCTCCCCACTGACGGTTCCACGGGTGTGGAGTTGGCACCCCGCTCCGCAGAGCCTGGCTACCTGGTGACCAAGGTGGTGGCGGTGGACAGAGACTCAGGCCAGAACGCCTGGCTGTCCTACCGCCTGCTCAAGGCCAGCGAGCCAGGGCTCTTCGCGGTGGGGCTGCACACGGGCGAGGTGCGCACAGCGCGGGCCCTGCTGGACAGAGATGCACTCAAGCAGAGCCTGGTGGTGGCGGTCCAGGACCATGGGCAGCCCCCTCTCTCTGCCACTGTCACGCTCACGGTGGCCGTGGCTGACAGCATCCCAGACGTCCTGGCTGACTTGGACAGCCTCGAACCCTCCACCAACCGTGACGACTCGGGCCTGACGCTTTACCTGGTGGTGGCGGTGGCCGCGGTCTCCTGTGTCTTCCTGGCCTTTGTCATTGCGTTGCTGGCCCTCAGGCTGAGGCGCTGGCACACATCTCGCGTGCTCCAGGCTTCAAAAGGCCGTTTGGCAGGCGTGGCTGCCTCTCAGTTTGTGGGCGTGGACGGGGTGCGAGCTTTCCTGCAGACCTATTCCCACGAGGTGTCGCTCACCGCGGACTCGCGGAAGAGTCACGTGATCTTCCCTCAGCCCAACTATGCGGACACGCTCATCAGCCAGGGGAGCTGCGGGAAAAGCGAGCCTCTCCTGATATCTGAGAAGATAAACGCAAAGGAAGAAGAGCTAGGAGTTGTTCAGGTGAGTTTTCTTTTTTCACTGGGGATGTTTGGAGCATTTTTTTTCACTTGTTTCCATCATTTTTCTGCCACATTCAAAATCGGTCAATTGCTTGAATGGTGAATCGTTATTTGCTTTATTTACAGATAAACTTGATTTAATTTGATAATTGTTACTTTCTCCATTTACTTTCAAATTATCTTTTGGGCTTAATGTCTTTTTTCTATAATACGTGGATATTTTAGAAACTCTAGCTGATATCCATAGACTTAAGTGAAAGAAGTATTTTAAAGGAAGGTGATTATACATAATCACTTTACCCAAAGACTGTCTTATACTAGAACTGTTACGTTAATAGAAGAGTTGTTTGACTAGTCCAAATTATTAGATGTAATGTTCTCTTTTGACTACTTGCTTGAACACCAGTAGCAAATATGTTTCAGAAAAAATATTGTGCAGCATTGGTATTTTAGTAAACCTGCTGTTTAGAAAACCTGCTGTTTTCATAAAGATAGTAGATAATTTATAGCACTTGCATAAATCAGTGGAAGAGTATAGAAAACTTCTGCGTGATCAATATCAGAAGAACAGATTAAATTTATAGTAATGATAATGTCTGTGGCATTCTGTAGTCTGGAAAGTTTGGGTTCAACCATCTAATTATTGTACATGTGTATTTGTTGAGAGAATAAATCAGTGAGATGTAGCCTTAGAATAAATTCTGTGATGCAACTTAAAATCTTCAAATAATTAGATACTTACTTCACTCATTAACTACAAATATGCCGTACACTTGGCATCTTCTGGTTACACACAACTCCTTAACTTTTCAGAATCAGTATCTTCCTGAATGCTTGCATTTCTGCAAGTGTAGGTGCAATTCTGCTTTATTGCAAGAGTTAAAAATTTGTATTTGGAAAATCAATTGGTGAAGTGAAATTTATATTTAAGGCAGGACAAGAAAAATTAAAGATAAAACTATCTCTCTGTTTGTTTGGGTCTCCTCCCTCCCTCCCTAATGTGCAGTGCACATCTGCATTACACATTAACCAGAGCTCCTCAAAGATGGGAATTCCCGCTGGACTGTTTACAGCTAAACTGTTACCTATCTTTGAATCAATATCTTTTCTTTCTTCTGATGCTAGCAGTGTAACTTCTTAAAAGAATAGTGTTCTTTCCCAACTAGGTAGGGGGTCATGGTGACTTGCTGCTCATTTTCTATGTGCTTACTTGGACTATATATCCATGGTGAACTTTATGCAAAATATCAGTATATCATTTTGATGTACAACCTTTTGTCTCAAAATGTACATGACTGTGCCTTCAACTTCTAACAGGCAGAACAGTTCTCAGAGCTTTCTGAAGCTGCCTCCCAGGTTATAATCCTGTTTGGCTCACGTAAAATTCCCCTTTGTCTTCTTAACTTGATAGTTAATTGAATTTTCATTGACACAACTTAAAAATGGTTTGAAATTCTACGTTATTTCTCAAATTATTTAAAAAATTATGCTCATCTTAAATTAATAGATTTTTCTTGTTAAATGCTGGTCTGTGGGTCTCAAATTTCATGAATATGTGTTGTGTAATGTAATAACCATGTACTCTATTCATTTTTACATATAATTTACTAAAGATGATTTTCAGATCCTTCTTTTAAAAAATTTTTTCAGTCTTTCAAATTTTGTACTTTCAACAACTTGAGCATCAGCTGCAAAGTATGAATAAGTGGGGAAATGGCAATAAAATATTTTTAATAGGATAGTAGGCTGCATTTCTCAACCACATGAAAGGGTTATTGATACATTTGGGAACCTAGGACCACTTGATGTTTTAGAAATTTATTTAAAAGGGATCTAATTATATTTATATATGGGCAATTCTGACCTCAACATAAAATGTGCAGACTCACTGAATAGTGAATTCATCCAAAGAGTAACAGGAGAATCTGTATGATAGATACTGATATCATTCACTCCTATGTGAAAACTCACCTTTCCATTATTTTTTAAAGAAAAGATTACTGTGTAGTTTTGGGTATGCATTCTGGGTTAACTTTTTCATGCAATAGGAAAAATACCTTCTATACCTCTATAGACTTCAATAAACTTTATGTAATAAACTTTATGTAATAAAATGCTTGATCTATGCACTGTAAATATATATACTATATATGATATACTCTTAAATATTTGAATCTTTTGTTTCATATATGTTGTGAAAAGATAGCTTTCCTTTACTAATAACTGAAGTGTACACACAGTGGTTTAAAAAAAAGGCACTTAGTAATATTTTGGAGCAAAGTGTTAAGTCAGTAGTGTTTTTTACGTTTGTATAAAGTAGAAAGGCCAACGAGTTTCTGTCTAGAATCCTGGATAAATGAGCAGTTTAAGATGCTCTAGCATTATTCTACTATAAGATGAATTCAGCATTGTTACACAGCTTCCAAGTTTTTGAATGACAATATATTATGCAGGTTAAGAAACAATTTCTCAATGAAGATTTCTAGTTTGGAAATGGAGTTAAAACTCTAAGATGCAGGGGGTGGAGGGTAGCTAAGTGGTAGAGCACATGTTTAGCATGCACAAGATCCTGGGTTCAATCCCCAGTACATCCATTAAAAAAACCTCTTAGATGTCTATCAGAAACAGAAATTGGCATGCATATTGGCAAGGGAAGAGTGTCAATAATAGACTCAAGAGGATCAGATGTAAGCAGGGGATCAAGGAAAAGTGCAAAACATAGATGACTTTCTTTGAGATATATCATTATGAGGATTCATACTTCACCACCAAAATCCAAGTAACTCACCATTGCTAAGCTACTTGATAAGAAACAGTACAATTAAAGACAATGGTAATGTAGCATGGAAAAATTAAATTAGTGGAATAGTTTTTAAATTATAGTCATGTAATTAAAACTAGACAATTGGATCAAGACTACAACGGAGTATCATCTCACACCAGTCAGAATGGACATCATTTAAAAGTCCACAAATGATAAATGCTGGAGACATTTGGAGAAAAGGAAAACCTCTTACACTGTTGGCGGAAATGTAGTTTGGTGTAGCGCTTATGGAAAACAGTATGGAGAGTCCTCAAGAGACTAAAAACAGACTTGCCATTTGATCCAGCAATCCCACTCCTGGGCGTATATCTGGAGGAAACTCTAATTCAAAAAGATACATGCACCCAATGTTCATAGCAGCGCTATTTACAAGACAAGACCTGGAAGCAACCTAAATGTTCATTGACAGATGATGAATAAAGAAGTTGTTGTATATATATTTACAATGGAATAGTACTCAGCCATAAAAGAGAATAAAATAATGCCATTTGCAGCAACATGGATGGACCTGAAGATCATCATACTAAGTGAAGTAAGCAAGAAAGAGAAAGAAAAATACCATATGATATTACTTATATGTGGAATCTTTAAAAAAAGATACAAATGAACTTATTTACAAAACAGGAACACACTCACAGATACAGAAAATAAACATATGTTTAGCAGGGGGGAAAGGGTGGGTGCAGGGATAAATTGAGAGTTTGGGATTTGCAGATACTAACTACTAAATATAAAATATATAAATAACAAGGTCCTACTGTATAGCATAGGAAACTATACTCAATATCTTATAATAGCCTATAATGAAAAAGAATATGAAAAGGAATATATATGTGTATAAGTGAATCACCATGCTGTACACCAGAAACTAACACAGCATTGTAAACCGACTATATCTCAGGAAAAAAAAATTGACACTTGGAAACAGGAAAAGAGAGTGTCTTGCTTCTTACCATACTTCTATCTTATAAGGATAACCAATCTCCTTGCCATCAATAAATTATTTGGAGGAGATTATAAAAATAAGATAGAAGAAAGTGACACATAGGATAAAACTAAAAGCTATGAAATTGATCACTTTTATAAGTTAGAATAAAAGCAAATAGAGTGAAATAACAATATACATCAAGCTGATATTTCAAGAATCTTCATATTACACTTTCTGCCACTCGCAATACTATCTTCCATTTTATCACTTTCTATGTATTATTTTATTTGGTCCTCAATTCTACTAAGGCACGCAGGGAGAATGTTATTATGACCACTGGCTGAAAATGGAAACTAAAAGCACAATGCCAATAAGCATCTTCAGCAAGATACCTCTGGCTTTGAGGAGTAAAAATCACTTTATTTAGATGAATAAAGTTCAAGTTCAAAGAAGTGGCAGCAAGAACGAAGATGTAGAAAGTATTTAAAATATAAAAATCCTTGTAAAATGGGAAGAATGAGTATCTGTACCAGGACAGTAGAATTGTCTTCTAGCTGGCTCTATATTTGAAGCTGATTTAGTAATCACTAATGCAGTTCTGCAGCCGAGGCGCGGGGTGCCGCTGTTGGCTAGTACTGGAGCTCCTCCTGACGCAAAGGAATCGCCCAAGGTCCGCGAAATCTCGAGAACTACGCACTTTCTCTCAGGCTTTCTGCCGTGGAAATATCTATCGGAGAAATCTGCCCGCCAGGACTTATCAAGGAGTCGCTCCTGCTCAGCAGTTCTTGAGATCATTTAGCGACCGCAGCTCTTCGGAATCAGAAAGGTACAGGCACAGAGAGCGGGATGGGAAACCGCTTGGGGCCGAAGCGCCTGGCTGGGCGGAGGCTAATGCTGTTTCTCTTCCTGCTGTCTTTGTTCTCCCCGGCGCTTTCGGAGCAGATCCGCTACACTATTCCAGAGGAGCTGGCCAGCGGGTCAGTGGTAGGGAACCTCGCCAAGGATCTGGGGCTTGGCGTGCGAGATTTACCTACTCGGAACCTGCGGGTTAGTGCTGAGAAGAAATTCTTTACAGTGAGCACCGAGAACGGAGACTTACTTGTGAGCGACCGTATAGACCGAGAGCAGATTTGTGGCAAGAAGTCTATGTGTGTTCTGGAATTCGAAATGGTCGCAGAAAAGCCTTTGAACTTTTTTCATATAACCGTGGTGATTCAGGATGTCAATGACAACCCACCGATCTTTAGCCGAAATATCACTGAACTGGAAATCAGTGAACTGGCCCTAACTGGAGCCACCTTTGCCCTGGAATCTGCACAAGATTCAGATGTAGGTGTTAATTCCCTGCAGCAGTACTACCTCAGCCCTGACCCACATTTCTCTTTGATTCAGAAGGAGAACCCAGATGGCAGTAGATACCCAGAACTGGTAGTGAAGGCTCCCCTGGACAGGGAAGAACAGTCCTGCCACCTCCTGGTCCTCACGGCTGTGGATGGGGGAGAGCCAGCCAGAAGCTGCACTACCCAGATCAGGGTAGTTGTGGCAGATGCAAATGATAACCCACCAGTGTTCACTCAGGACATGTACAGAGTCAGTGTTCAAGAAAACCTACCCCTGGGATCCTCTGTGCTAAGAGTGATGGCCACTGACTTGGATGAGGGCATCAATGCTGAGATCACCTACACTTTTATCAACATTGGTAAGGCAGTGAGACAGCTGTTCAAGCTGGACAGTAAAACAGGAGAACTCACCACTGGTGGAGAACTGGACTTTGAGGAGAGAGCGAGCTACACACTTGGGGTGGAAGCAAAGGACGGTGGACGTCACACTGCACATTGTAAAATACAAATAGATATTTTGGATGAAAACGACAATGCTCCTGAGATAACTGTGGATTCTGAATCTAAACATATACAAGAAGATGCTGAGCTGGGAACTGTTGTTGCCTTGATCAAAACACATGATCTAGATTCTGGATTTAATGGGGAAATCTTATGCCAACTAAAAGGAAATTTTCCATTTAAAATAGTCCAAGATACAAAAAACACATACAAGCTAGTGACAGATGGAACCTTAGATCGAGAGAAGACTCCAGAATACAATGTCACTATCACAGCCACTGACAAGGGCAAGCCTCCCCTCTCCTCTAACAGAAGTGTCACCTTGAAAGTCACTGATGTCAATGACAACCCTCCTGCTTTCCATCAGGCCTCCTACGTGGTCCACGTGGCAGAAAACAACCCCCCTGGAGCCTCCATCGCCCAAGTCAGCGCCTCAGATCCCGACCTGGGGCCCAACGGCCACGTGTCCTACTCCATCGTGGCCGGCGACCTGGAGCCGCGCGCGCTGTCGTC